AAGGCTCCCTAGTTTTTTAGCTTACCAAGTGCCCTGTCGCGGTAACAGTGGTGTTTTCGCGGTTTTAGAAATTTACCTTATTATTGAGCGAAAATTAATTTAGCTGTTTAGTGGCCCGTTATGTCGTTGCTTGTTTTCTGTGAAGAGTGGTGCCTCGACTATCAGTCCTCGCGTCACTCTAATATTTCAAAACAGTGGCACACATGTCGGAGTGTTCGCCGATTTCTCTATAGTAGGAGCATGCCGTCTGTTTATGAAAAGAGTTTAATAATTTCAAGTACATCGCACTCAACTATGACAGAGCAGTGAGTCATCCCAGATGTACAGTAAACATACAAATACTGTCTAAAGCACAAAAAGCATCGCCGTGTAGGTGAACAGTCATTCGATCGTACGATCCTGGCCTGTGTTATAATGCTCCGAAGGTGGATTAATCAGTTTTTTTTAAACTCAGCAGCCCATTTCTAATCAATTAGCTCCATCCAAAAACCAACAGCGCATCTGTCCGTCACTTTCGAATGACAGTCATGCTCGTTCGATTTTTCACTTGAACCGTTAGTACGTTTTCTCGGATAACTCAACCACGCGCATTAAGAGGTAAAGGTTCGTCATAATACCTAAAACACTGTTTTGTGAAGGAGCAATTTTGCGATCTCTAGAGAAAAGTTAGGCCATTCATGTTTATGATCGAAAACCTGTGCCACAAAGATGGGTCATTACTCAGTTATCCAAAATGCGTGAGAGGTGCTTAACATGTATATTTAAAAACTCATAGTGCTCTTCCTGCGATTTTTTTCAGGTGACATTGGTTATTACGACGAGGACGGGCGTTTCTATTTCGTCCAGAGGCTGAAAGAGATGATAAAATGCATGGACAACCAAGTTGTTCCTGCTGAGCTTGAGCAATTGCTGCTTCAGGAGCACTCCGAAGACATTGCCGAAGTGACAGTGGTGGGGCTACCGCACCCTTTATACGGAGAAGCACCAGCGGCTGCGGTAGTGCCCCGGGGCCATTACATGTGTCACAAGGCCGCGGGGCCCTTGGCGGATAAGATTAAGGCTACCATTGCAGGTGCTGTTCCGCTTTTATGCCAATAGTGTTTCTTTATATATTTTGAATACTGCTCGCCTCTTTTTGAGACCATAGTAGATGGGCATACAAGTTTGACATACAGCTACGAAAATTATATCGAGACTCGACGAATTTCTGTCGTCGTGTTCATGTCTTGTATGTATGTATGTATGTATGTATGTATGTATGTATGTATGTATGTATGTATGTATGTATGTATGTATGTATGTATGTATGTATGTATGTATGTATGTATGTATGTATGTGCGTATGTATAGTATGTATGTAGGTATGTAGGTAGGTAGGTAGGTAGGTAGGTAGGTAGGTAGGTAGGTAGGTAGGTACTATATGTAGGTAGCTACGACAGGTAGGTAGGTAAAGCCACGAACAAAAATAAATTGGTCGAAGGAATTTGCGACCTGCGCTGTTGAGATTTCAATCTGTGACTCCTAACTCCGCAGCCTACCGCTTTAGAAAGCTCTGCCACGTGCCACTGGTTACTTGGAATGGTAACAGTGAGCATTTACCGCTGCTGGTACGCAGATCTCGGAAGCGCTTCGGCATGTTCAGTACCACCCTCCAGGTGGTGCTAAGGGTGCGCTTTAAAGCAACGCTACTAGATCTTGTTTCAGCTGTTTTTGAAAGGTCCATGGAAGACAGGCCCATTTTTGTACCAATTCGCACTGTGCAACGCTGGACAAGCAATGCTTCGAACGCCATATGCCGAAGGAGGCGCTGACGAACACCCCCAGCGTCGAATGTCCAGTGAGGAGGCGCTGGCGTAGTCGACATCCGCTGATCAATCAGGAAGAAGTAATAACTGTGCCAGCTGTATATGTGCGCGTGTTCTGTGTATACCTGTGCATTCTTATCAAGCGTCATTCTTTGGGATTGAGCGGCGGGCTGGCCCCGCCGCGGTGGTCTAGTGGCTAAGGTACTCTGCTGCTGACCCGCAGGTCACGGGTTCAAATCCCGGCTGGTACGGCTGTATTTCCGATGGAGGCGGAAATGTCGTAGGCCCGTGTGCTCAGATTTTGGTGCACGTTAAAGAACCCCAGGTGGTCAAAATTTTCGGAGCCCTCCACTACGGCGTCTCTTATAATAATATGGTAGTTTTGGGACGTTAAACCACACAAATCAATCAATCAATGAGCTGCGGGCTGAGAGTGTTGCCCTGACCTCGCATTAATAATGGCGTCACACTAGTCTGTATGCTGATCTAGGTTCTTCAAAGAATGGTTCCAGCTACAACGCAGACCAAAACTATCTACGTTTACATAGTGTTGTTTACCAAGAGGGTCCTTACAAAACCTTGATTTACCACGTGATTTCATTCTTAGCTTTCGGCTTGGTAGAGGGCTGGTGTATCTCAGATATCATGAGCTCTTCTACACCAGCCACATTACGGCAGGTGGTGTTCACGTACTAAATATTTCCAGGTTTTGTTTAACAATGTCAATTTCTAACGCAGTTCAGTTCTGGCTAAGTATTTCTGATGTCTCTGTTGAGTTACCTTTATTGCTAGCTAAGGGTAGCACTTAAGACAAGTTTCGTCTGAAGATGTGACACCTACGAATGCACCCGCTTACAAAAAGTACCAAAAAAACATCCATAATGCAGGTCGAGTGGTGTGCAAAGGAGATTTGCCTCAGGTGAGTTGTCAGTGTAATTTGCAGCGTAAATAAATTGTATATGGTTGTAAATAAAATACAGCCAAGTTCTTTCGAGGATCCCTTCTCTTGTAATATTATTTCACCATGATTAGAGTGTCGTTCTCACTTTCCGAAAAGCACTAAGTCTGGACGTCCTCAATAGCTGCTATATTAGTGGGGATACTGTGGAATATATGATATCCTTAATGTACACTAGAGGGAACTCTGACGCTAGTGTATATGTTAGCTGCAAGGCATGGTACTTAAACCAGCAAGAGAATGATGAGTAGTACAGAAATTTGTATGATCTTTGTTCTATCGGCTCCGTTTGACTTCGTGTGGCCTGGAGCCACTTTGTAACCATCGGCATACGTGCAGCAGTTGCAACTCACTAAAGTTCACATCATGAAGTTCATGAAGTTGACAACCAATTGTTATTTTACTTCAAACAAAAACAAACCATAACAATAAACATAGCCGCCAGTGCGCTCGAAGCTCGCAGGCACAAAGACTAGGCAAATTAGTGCACGTACCGTCATTCTATTGGTGGTGGTTTCAGGAAGTTATGCTTCGCAAGATTTCGTTCTATTATAAAAGCACGTGCATCTTGTGCCCTTCTAATGTATTGAACTTAAAACCTGTGTGTGTCTCCCGGCCAGAGAGAAAGGCGTGCAGAAGCAATGGAGCTTACAGTTACGAGAGCGAATGATTGAAGGGAAAGTCGTGGTAGCTAGAAAATTTTGCAGCGTTTTATTAGTTTATATTTGCTGCGGCTGAGCTATATTTGCTACAGCTGAGCAATTCTGCCCAATCTTTTCGCAGAAAAACTGGCTATCCACAAGCACCTTTACGGAGGCGTCTTTCTGTTCGACTCCTTGCCGAAGACAGAAACGGCAAAAGTAAACCGAACAGCAATAGTGGAACAGTGTGCTCATAAAGTAAGTTTGTAATAAATAAAGAAGTTGCAGTATTTCAAACACACGTGTTCAAATTTTCATGGTGTTTCCTTTACTAAGGAGACCATAATGCTGGCTTATAGTGTCGGGCGCATAGTCGTTGCTCAAACTCCGAGCACATTCTTACAAATTTATCGAACTGGTGAAGACAGAGCAAGGATGTATAGAATATCTGATAAACAGTCATGTGATTATTTTTCTAAAGTCCAAGGAGCCGCACAGTATGTGGGTGCAATCAACACCAGTTAAGTATTTTCTGCCTCGTCGTGGCCCACACGTGTTTCTCGAAGAGGTGGCATATAGATTCAGCCACAAAGCGAGATGTTGCGTTGTGCTTGCGTTGAATCATAATCATCATTAATATAGTTAGAGCAGTAGCGCTGGTAGTGCCGCCCAGCGGCGAGGCTAGGTGGCCGCACAAAGAAGATTCGGGGCGCTCTTTGGCGTGGGACGGCTGGCGCGATTGGTCGTCTTTTCACGGGGATTCGCGGGATACGAAAATTGTGGGCCGTCTCCCGTAGGTGCCTTTTGGTGATTCGATCATTGGGGATGGCATCTTTGCGAAACCTTCTGTTAGTTATTCTGTTTGAGTGTCTTATTGGGATTATTGTATAAGGTTGTTTCTAGCGTGTCACCAGTGAGGTTTTTCATCGGATGGCGATATTGTTGTTTGTAAAGGTTGTTGAATAAATGTACACGATGTATGGATTAATTATAGTGCATCTCTCTGTGCGTGCGTTTTAAGAGCGGCACTCTGGTCCACGACTCCACAACAAATATTTAATAATGCTATATTATGGTATTGCTAAACAAAAAAATTGAAGACCCTTAGCTTCACCTTTCAGAGTTAAACGCGATGGTCGATCTGGCCCTTAGTGCGCCCTTCAACTGCAAAGGGCATACCTGATAATGTTTTGTTACATACACACACACGCACACAGTAGATTGTACCAGCGCGCTCGCGCGAATGTAACATACAATTTTTTTATCTAAAGGAAGAGTCGCAAAGCCTCCAAGATACATGCCACGCGCTTGCCATCTTGGAGGCAATAAAGAGTCTCACAATGACTCACAGATGGCGGCACATTATCTAGCGTTTGCCATTTGCTTGATCAACGCCTCTGGAAAGTCATGATAGTAAAATAGAGGTGTTGTACGTCGAGAAAGATTCAGACGCAGCTTGCAAAATGAGCTTTATCAGGCAGGTCTGGCTAATGGCGAGCGGCGTGCGCGAGCTACTTGTCTTGTCTTGTCTTGTCTCCTAGGAGATCTTGGCTCATACCCACATGGGGGATCGGCCACACTGTACCTCATAATAGATCATTTTTTACAACGCTTGCCAAAAAAATAAAGAGAAATTAGATAGGAACAATAATAATGTTCCTTTGAAAAAACGTGAAAAATTGCAGAAGAATGCGATAAACCAGATTATATAAAACAAATTAACAAGAATGAGGAAGGGGGAGAAAGAATTGGATATATCTGGCAGCGAGCTACTACTGCAGCCACCGATCACCCTCGTCTTCTTCATTACCAGCAGAGCGTCAGTTATTCAGATTCATTACAATAGGTTTTCTGCGAGATCGACATAGTTTTCTATTTTTAGAGCTATTTGCAAGTTCCTGTGTGTTTTTAGCGGTGATGGCTCCACTATCTCGGCCTTTTTCTACATAATTTGAGGCCTCCTAAAGGCGCCTACAAATTGCCGAATGAGCTTGTTTTCATCATGACACCTGCCGAACAAAATGCGTTGACCTCACGATAACCAGCGCGCGCGCTAAACACTGGACCACAAAGCGTAACTTTTTCTTTAATCCATGAAATCATCACCAGTAATGGTGAACTAAAAGCGTACGTTGTCATGGCTCCTAATGACAAGCCATTCATATACACCATATACCATTTGTCAGTCTTCAGAGCTCAGCCTCCTCAACGTATTTTAGTCATCAGTAGCGAGATGGCGCGACGTGTTCGCGTCGCGGGAGCTAAAGTCGTCGCTTTTCGCGTTTTGTTGAGCGCCGTCTCCGAGGCGCATGGTCCCTCCTGCGCGCACCCTTACCAGACGCGTTATTCGAAAGGGCACAAAGGTCAGTTCTATTGCTTCCACAGCTGCGTTCACGAAAAGAGAACGCTGCTCATACAGGAATGTGCAAGAATTGTGGCAGTTGTTCACGCTCGTCTTGTGTATCTTGTGCGTTCGTTTCGTGGGCCTTTCTGGTTGAACAGCCCGCATCAAGGGTCGAGCTGCGTCAGTAGTTATTCCACGTACGTCCTGTGTATGCCCATATTATGCGTGCTTACTGCTTGAGGTGCGTTCTGTATATATCGAGTTGCTTGCTTTCCTTCGCGTGATTTCGCAATTTGTTGCTCTCGCAATAATTCTTTCACTCTTGTAGCTAAACGATGCCCGATTGGTGCCCAACTACCTGTGTGAAAACATATTTCACTTTCGTGTTATCATCGTCATCATTATCGTTATCATCAGTCTGACTACGTCAACTGCAGGACAAAGGCTTCTCCCATGTTCTACCAGTAAACTGGCTCATGTGCTTACTGCTGCCATTTTATACCCATAAACTTCGTAATCTCATGTGCCCACCTAACTTTCTGTCTCCCTCTGATACCCTTGCCTTCATAACCAGCGGTTATCCTGTCGACGCGCTATAGCCCGGCCCATGTCCATTTCCAGTTCTTGCATTCAACGATGGTTTCTTTAACCGCGGTTTGTTCCCTGATTCGGCCTGCTTTCTTCTCGTCTCTTACGATTACACATTCCATTTTTCTTTCGATTGCTCGCTGCGTCGTCCTCATTTAAAGCGGAACCCTCTTTGTAAGTCTCCAGGTCTCTCCTCAGATGCTGAGTACCGGCAAGATTCAGCTGGTATATGCTTTAAAATATTATCATCAAACGCCACAAGCCTGAAACAAGCACGTGATACTTCACTTCTAATAAACCGTATTCGTTCAAAGCAGTCCCCGATCTCGATCGTCCTAATATATTCCTACCTCTTGAGGGATAGTGGCAATCTACCTGTCGTGATTTCAGAGTGCTTGTCAGATGTGCTTCGCCCCATTCTAGTTACTTCAACTCTGGTTCGGCTCCGTGGTTATAACCTTTCCTAAGCAGATATAGTGTGTTAGAACTTCTGGTGCACAATTACCTATCTTGAAGCGCAATTCTCTTCCGAGGTTGTTGTACATTATTTTCGTTTTCTGTAGATTATCTTTTAGACCTACCCTTCTGCTCTCCTTATCTAATTCTACAATTATTCGTCCTCTGAGTTACTCTTCCCATTCCAGGCCCCTGAAAATCTCCGGTAAGCACACGGTAAATAGCATAGGGGTGAACCCCCTGACTTACACCCTTCTTGATTGATACTCTCTTGCTTTCAATAAAAAGCATTGTTGTACCAATGCTCGCGTTATATCAATGCCTACAAAGAGAAACCAGCCGCGTTTTCTTTTTGCCAGATTGCGCAGACATGGGGATTTTTCAATGTGAACGTACGTTCCAAAAATAAAAAAAACAGTCGTTTAATGGCACTTGCTCACGTATTTCATTTTGTCACACTGTGCCTGCTCAAATAGTTCAAGATGAATATGTTTTATCTAAGCTAAATCACAGTTACGCTTATACTATAGTCGGCGACTTCAACGTAACCATTAGATAATTTTAGTTCAGCGCGCGCAACGGCCTAGCACACGCAAAGCGAGAGAGAGAGAGCACGAGTGCGCATGCAGTGGACCTAAGAGAGATGCATGCGTTCGCGCACGCTAGATTGTGACGATTACGCCTACCAACGTTGCGCCTGCTAAGGCCATTGCGTACCTTACTGGCGGCTCTCGTGAGGTCTCGAACTGCCGAAATGAAACAAACGAGATAGCTGATACTGACAACATTACGATTGCCAACAAAGTCAGTGTGCATTTTGGTGGATTTGGAACGCAAATAAGTAAGCTGAAGCCAGTAGAAGAACAGGTTCAGTGGATCGTGATAACCGCTGTGCCGGAGCACAACGCTGGACGACTAGACAACGTTATTAACGAATCAGCAACTGAATCAGTTGGTGACGCAAAGCACCCCGCCGGAATTGTGGGCGGTGCAAAGGGCGTCATGTGTGTGATCCCTTCGAACTGTGGTGGTTGCTGAACTTGCCTAATCACAAGATGTCGGAATGATCGCCTGCAAAAGCATTCCAACTGTTAGAAAGTAAAGGTCTGGTTTAGTCGTGCATTTAGCGTGCATGTGGATGCACGTTTGTGTCCCAAGAAGCTCAAATGATTGTTACTGCACACGGTGCCCTCAACAAAGCAGCTTTCACGGCACGTGAAGGCTAGCGCATAAAGACATCGCCGTCAATGAGGATATTCTTGTATTTATCGTTCAGCGATACCAGCTAGGTTCTCTTTTTTGTTCTCTCGTGGTCTTGAAAAGTTCTGAAGCATCTAGTATATGTAAATTGGCAGTAAGCGATCGTCTTTGCCATTTATGTCTCATGCGCTGTTAGTTTACTTAGCCTTAACACATCAAACCACCCCTCATCTTCAGAAAACATTGATTTGTCTCACATGCTTCGACTCTTGCGTTGCGTTGACTTATATCGAGTTTTTCAGCCTCTTCCTTTTTAACGAGATTGCGCGAAGCAACACTAAAAGGCAAGTCTGTTGAAGCACAGGCGTAGTACACGCTTTGGGTGTGGCGCACGGTAAACTAATGCTGTTGGAGGATCCCCTAAACATATCCTACAGAGCTCACAGCACATTGAATACGTACAACCTTGCGTACAGTAACCTAAATTCAATATTATGGACCTTAGGACCTAGCTTCGCCCACTAATCATAAGTCACTTCGAGGAGATTCATGGGTCTGGCCCCCCTTCTAAGCCGACGTTATGATTGAGTAATATCTGTGCTTTTTAGAACAAACTCAGGAACAATTGACAATTTTTGCATCAATAAAACTGATACAACAGTTTGCGGATTTCAGTAAGCAAGGCTGATTGATAGCCAATC